TATACATACATATATATATATATACGCCAACAATTTTTTTGACAATAAAAGATTAGTTGCATTATCCCGTTTTTTCACTTCGTTAAAGCTTTCGTTAAACATTGTCACAGTTTCTCTCTCGGATAGCTCTGTATCCTTTTCAGATGCTTCAAAGCGCACTTAGCTGCTGTACACTTCGCGATCCTGTAATTCCGCCCGATTCCTTTGAACGAGCCTTTACCGAATACATCTACAATCACTCTGACTCTACGACCATCAGCTAGCTTCTCAGGCTTGCCGAACTTCGCTGTTTCAGGTTCCAGTTCCAATAATTCGCGGATTGGTGACTTGGGAACATTTGTGCTAAATTGTTCTGCAATCATATATTATATCGTTCTAATAAATTCGTTCTACGTATTTTTTAAATTTTCTTCTACACATAATTTTATATTTTATATAGTTATATATTTTCTTAATTTCATATATATTACCGATTTCAGATTTCATTATCGTATAATAAACGCTCCACACCGCATCGAGAGACATTCCGCTATCTAAATAGATGGCACCGGCTAACGATTCAAAAACATCACCCAAAGCCTTCGGTACTTCCACGTCCTCGGCTTCCTCACATTCTTCTTTGCCGATCAGATAATACTAAAGAACATAATACACTCGTTATTAACATATTACACCATATCGTATTTGTAGTAATTATTCTTCATAACATACTTCCTCACTGATGGAATGTCCGTTTTCCTCTTGTATTCTGACGAAGCGATTTATCACCACGCTTAACCCTGGAGAAAGATGGCGGAAATACTTATGAAAGCCGCACCTCACGGCCAGAGAAGCGAATATTGTGTTATTAACTAAAGCAGATCTTAAATCTGTTAATGCACCTGGCGAATGTTGTCGAGAATCCTCGTACAAGTGTCTGGTTATCAAATAATCTGAAATACAAAGTGTATATATATATATATATATATATATATATATATATATATATATATATATATAAAATTTTGACAGATTATATAATAATTTAGCGATTTGTATTCAAACGAGAAGCGCTCACCTAGCACGGCATCGCCGAGAAATTCCAAACGCTGATAACAATCCGTCAATCTATTCGGCTGATAAGAGGCATGCGTAAATGCCTGCAAAAGATAACTACTATCGCGAAATTTGTATCCTATACTTTTTTCTAATTCTTCGTACCCATCGAGCATCATATGCAACTCGCCTTCTGGATCAGGAATGTATCGAAGCAACGGATTTTGCGGCTCCTCCAACTTGCCATAACAAATCTGGAGAAAAATGTTTTTTACAAAAATTATAATACAAAATCATATGTTATCATGACATAAAATCATGATAACATACATTAATAGCCACTCACTTGCGTCCACGTGGTTTCTCCGCCTTCGTTGGTTCCCTTTATGTACGGCGTACTACCACATATCCTCTCTGGCTCGCCTTCGTTCGCTATGTGAACCTCCTCAGTAGGCAGAACGTGAATCCCTAACCAGGCCATAAAGAGAAGCGCTCCACGTGGTCCGCATGCAATTAAATACGCTCCTATTAAAGCTTCCACGCAGTCCGCGATACTCTTATCCGGGATACTATGCTGCGTGATCAGATTGTACGGTATGAAGCACCGCATATTGTCTAAATTGGTCGACAGTCTACTCTCGTTCTTATCTAATTCACTTTTCATGATCACAAGTTTCTCTTCAGTCTCTTTAACGAGTTGATTGATCTCGGTGGGATTCACAGCTTGCAAAGTAGGAATGTCGGCTTGATTCCACAGGGCGAACGGAACGCCCGACTCGATGAGCGCTTGCTCAAGTTCTTTGGGAACGTAATAACAAGGAGGCAGCCAATTGTCATGTGGCTCAAATTTAGTCGCTATCATACTCTCGCCAAGCATCTTCTGCCTCCCGAGTCTGTACAGATTTAAATTGCTAACCTGAAACACATAAAAATTTTCGTCTTAAAGATCGTCGTGTACATGTAAAAATAGTCTTCGATCTCGAGAAAAAATCTATCGACATACCTGCTTTGATCTTAAATGACTAAGCTTTCCTTCGTGAATATTGTCATACGTGCAATACAAGTACGTGGTTATAGCGTATTTGAGGAATGAATCACCGATCGTCTCCAGACGTTCTAAATTAATGCCGTCGTTCGCGTTGGACATTGTTAAAGCTTGTAAAATTAAACTAGGACTCGGTCCTGGGTGACCCTTTAATTCTGGTTGGTAATCAAAACTAAAAAGATCGCTATCTAAGTAATTCGTTTTCTCTAGCTTATGAGTTTCTTTCTTCACTGTTTCAATAGACTTAGTGGGACTTTTGTTTAATACTTCGTCGATAAATTTCTCTACAACGGTCTCAATATAATCCTTATGCTTATAATCTGATCGTTCTTCAACGGTCGAGTAACTTAGCGAATTCTTTCTCTTGATCACAATTTCAGAATCATAAGATATAAATGTACCATCATACATTATATCGTGCTCCTTCTGCTTGGCGAACTCAAAATGCGCTTGCTTGTGCTTTTTCAGCAATAACTCATCTTCCTTTTCTGCATATACCCAGAGATTATTGTCAGAATTCTTCTCGGTCTCTAAGAGATCCAAAATTTTCTTATTGATCTCTTGCTTGCATATCTCTTTCTCATCCTCCACAGCTTCGGCGATATTCTCACCCATGTAAGAGATTTTTAGACCTCTACTTTCGTCCTCGCTCTCGTCAGACATGTCCGCAAAGCCGTCACTATACGTATCGTCCGACTCATATCCATCAAAATCAGATTCGCACGCTGGTGAGCCATATCGAACGTCGTTCCAACTGAAATTCTGCGGCAAGACCGTCAAGCTCAAGGGAAACGGCTTCAGATTGTCCGTATCGAAATCCATAGAGTTCATTGCCATGTCGTTTGACCATGTGCCGATTTCCAATTCGTCATTCTTCTCGTCGGCACTCTCCTCCTCCGCTTCATCAGTTTTCGTATTGTCGGACGACTCCAATTCCGATATTTTCTCGATTTCACTGCAGGATGTATAATCTTGATAGCATAAGCTTTGGCACTTATCGGAGATCACATTGCAATTGTTTAGTGCATTTTCATTTTTCATCTGTTTTGCTTTCTCCGTTTCCTTAGACTTTTTTAACACTTCTGCTAAACTCCATCCAAAATCTAACGCTGACCACTCGAAATCTAAAAAATATATATTATTATATATTATTATTATCGCATATTATTATATATTATTATATGTTATTATTATTGTTTCCTTCAGTTATAAATGTAAATCATATTCATGAAGATCATTATAATTTTGCTTTCCAATCTCATTACTATTAAAATATCTTATGATTATACGTGCATGTACCTGAGTTTAGATTCTGTTGCCCTAAATTTATCATTTGTGCGACTTGACATCGTATCTGATTGGCTAACAACAAAGCATTAATTCTATACAATATGCAAGGTAAGCAAACTGCTTGCCTCCACAAGGAAGCTGGAAAAGGATGAATGGCACATAATTCAGCAACAAGAATCTGCTTCTGCTCTAAATTTTCTCTTTTCGCGCGTTTTGTCTCTTCACTACTCGTAGGCAACGCGACACCTTTACGATTAACATATCTGAAATCAATAATTTATCAATAAGAGTCTAAAAGAATATTAATTAATACCTTCATGATTAGTTGTTTTATAAATCTTACCTAGGAGTTAAAAAGTTTAACCTAGCCGAGGTATGATCCACGTCTAATAACGATTGCTCGAGATTTTGTATTTGTATATCGTATTTTTTCAAATAGTATTCTTCGAAAGTACTATAATCATCTCCAGGGAAAGAAGATTTCGGAGTTAAATTTGTGCATATTTCTGCTACATAAAAATACTGTAAAAAAAGAAAAGTACTTGTAAAGATGATAAAAAAATATTTAAGAGATTCACGTTACAGGATTTAATACATTTAGATCTATGTACCTGTGGTTGGTCTTGACTTCTGTACCACGGCATGATCACAGCATCGTAATATTTCGATGGATCGAACTTAAATTTTTGTCTAACTTCTTCTGGTACCTTGGTTGGCACCGCGTTTCGATTCTGGTAAATGCATTCTAAAAAATCCCAATCTACTCTAATGTCTGATCCTTCGTCTATTGCAACTAAAATCAAGTAGCGTGTTATATTTTAAGAAAATATTTAAAAAATTCTATATCAAAGAAAAATCATTAAGTACAAATTTACTTAATAGAAGCAGATATACATACCAATTTTAACTGGTACAATTATATAAGAGTTTTCCGAAGCATTCGGATCAAAGAGCATTAAATATTTCTGCAATCTCAAGACGTTTGTGAAAGTATAATTGAGGAAAGTGGTGACTCTTTCTATCTGAACCTCGTCTAAAATTACAGTCTGTTTACTAAGTTTCAATTGCACGTGAACCTCGCCCGATCTAGTGTAAATAGGAAACGGACACAACTGTAAAAAGAAAATATAATTTGCATTAACATATTTCAGGAAAATCATGAGCTTCTTAAAGCTGTAATGCGATGTAAATGAAAAGCAATGATAAATCTAATAAGTTATTACCTTTGGTATCTCCTTCAATGTGAGTATGCCAAATCCAATGGCTGATTCTTCGGGAGGATAAATACGTCTACCACGTGTATTTTGTTCCTCTGGTAGAGGACAACTTAATACCATATTAATATGATACAAATAAGACGGCACTCCAACTATTGGCCTACAATCTGTCAATGCTTCAGCTGTCTAGAATAGAACACATTGCAAGTAATCATTTACAACATAATAACAAGAAAGAATAAACAATATTCTTTTATTTGTATTACAGAGAAATAGTGATTACCTTTTTATAATAATATTGTCTTCGTTTTGTTGTGCCAGGTCTAGCTTCTGAAAAATCAGCCCTGCTTTCGTCCGGTAAAGCAGGCACTTCAGCATCTTCAGGCTTCGCTTTGAAGTTCTCTTTCCCGATAGGTAACAAATTATCATCTATCTCATTTTCTCGATGTAGGTCGATGCACAATTGCAAGGCAGCCATACGTCTGGCCATCGCTCTGTTTGGCATTGGATATGACTAGAACGCGATCGAAAAAATACACCATAATACTACAAAATATATAAATGGTTACAGAGTTGTGTCCACTAAATATTTTTTCTCCGTTAAATTGATAAAAAAAACTACAGCTGTGAAGTTATATGATGAAAAACACATTTTAGACTCCTATATACTGTAAGAGTCGGAGAGAAAAGTATATCGGAAGCCGGAGTTTGCTGGGCCGGGACTCGAAACCCGGATCTTTCGCTTGCCGGGCGACTGCTCTAAACCACTGAACTACTCAAGCTCCCGCTTCAACACACTCTCTCTCTCGTCTTCTTATTGATGTTATTGTCAAGATGCCGCATGTTACCTCAGTTTGGTTTACATCCTACAATATATACAGTCGCTTACCGAAACTACATATTTCACTGGTGAATTTATGGGAAGTCGCAAAGAACAAGTATACATCGTTGTATCGTTGATATTAACTGTTTCAATCAACCATTCTGGTGTTAATCTCGTGAATGTGTCGCTAGGTAGCTTTGCACAATATCTGTAAAATTTATAATGTATATGTATACATGCTTATTTTATATAACTGTCTTATAATAGTTATTAAATAGTACATATTGAAACACATTTAATTGTTAAAATTATAAAAAGAAAAAATTACGTTACCTATTCACCAACGAAATAGCGGAATTAAAAGTGACTTTGGGAGCATCATCGCCATCGAGCGGTTTATAATGCGGTATCATCGCGGCATACATATCCGCCTCACTCTCTTCTTCCTCGGTTAGTTCTTTATTAGAACACTTTAATAATAAAGTCTACAAAACAGATTGAGATGCTCTTCCATTATAATTTCTCGACTAAAGTTAGCGTGAATGTGAAACCATGTTAAAAATCGATATTAAAAACCACAGTATGCACTGAAGTGTTCATGGATGAATTAAATAAAATTTGTAAAATACTATGACACATAGAAAGATAAACTCGAATTAAAAATAGTAATTAAATTTATACGATATAACGACTGAAACTTTGCGAGACGAATTGTAAGACTGAATTCTACAAAATTGTACCTTTTCTATATATTGATATTGTGCTAATTGCCATATCAGTTCTTTAGATATTTCTTGAGGTACTAATAATACGTGCAAGGCATCTATAGCCCTTGCCCTGCTCTTGCATTGTACGTACGACTGATAATTCTTAGGGAAGTCGTATCTCATTACAAAATTACATTTTGGAATGTCAATGCCTGAAGAAAATATAATGTAAATACATCATTGCTAATCTCAGCAAAAAGTTATGATACATATATCTCTTAAACAAATAGGACCAATTTTAAAGATAAATTCAAAAAATAAAAACAAGCAGAAAAATTTCTGTAATGTATATAGCTGATTTCATAGAATTCTCAAGTTAATCACTGAACTGTTTTAGCAATCTCATGCTTACCATTAAGAAAAATTTCTTTACAAAAAATACTAAACGACTATGTGTTCAAATACAAATTTGTAAACTATGTTATTTGTTTGAAGATCTTGAATATATTTCTGAAGCAAGTCCCACTTTTTAAGAAACACTCAGTATAAGTGACATGATATAAAAATATATTTTTACAAACCTTCCTCCAAGATTGAAGTTGCGATCAATAAATTACATTCGTGAATCCTGAATCGCTTTAAAACTTCTTCCTGCTTCCTATGTTCCATTTCTAAATCTCTTGAATAGCCAACGTCGTCAGTAGTCTTTTCGATTGTATAAAGAGGTGATAAAAATTGCAAATCTTCATCGTGCTTATATATTTCCTGTAAATAATTAGTATTAAAGTTAGTTATCATATATATAATAAATTTAATTGTTATAACAAGATGCGAACGTACATTTAATAAATAAAATAAAACTTTAGCTGTGAACCCTTTATCCACGAAAATTACTCCGCAAAGTAAATCAGGATCCGTACTGCCGCACAGATAACGTGACTTGGATGTCTTTTTATAATTATCATCATTTGTTTTCCAATTACCCCAAAACTTTCTTGGCTGCACCGATTTGTCCTGAGTTTTCGAAATAGTAACGTCCTTGTCGTTTTTTGCAAAACAATTCTTTGAATTAATATCTGAAAAATACGATACATTTCGAATTACACTTAAGATATATTAGTTGTACATTAAAACAAACAAAACAACTTTTACCAGTATCCATTTTCTTCTCAGGAGTATTGTTTTCTTTAGTATAAAAAGGAGTATAAGTTTTTAAGATTTGTAACAATCGATGAACTTTTGGAGTACTGTACTGATATATCCTTTCTTTTTCAGATAAATGTTGAAATATATTATCACAAATAGCACTGAAATATATTTTTATAACATTCATTTAATGTTTTAAAACATGAGAAATGCAGCAAATGTAGATATCAATATTATCATTATTACTACAATTCTTACCGAATTTTTATGAAAACAGATGCTACCATATTTAATAGAAGATAATGCCTTTCATAAGGAGTTTTGATTTTCAATTTTTCTGTTAAAATTAACAACGCCAAGGCAGCACGATCTGCACACCATGGGCCAAGAGTCTCCAATATGTGCAAAAAGTCCTGCATCAGCTCCAAAGGCTTTTCTCTTGGATCAGGAATTTTCTGAATATCTTCAAAAAATTCCTCATTATAAATCTCAGTAGGATCATAGCGATGATCATGTAAAAATTCAGTGGCGTGTAGCACCAAACTCTCCAGCATATGATATAAATCTCCCTTCTCTCCTCTAGCATATTCAACCACATATTCTCTCGGTTTTGGACTATAACTGCAGGAAATTTCCAATGCTATTAGTTCAAAACAGTTACTGAATTAATAAAAATACTTACCGTATTATTGAAAGAATATCATTTGTGGTTTCCACACCACATTTAAATGTAGCCTCTACTTTCTCTATTTCTAGGCCCAATCTTCCAGGTTCCTCCGTCAAATTAAATAAAGGTACCGCCAACCCAATAATTCTAGGAACATTATTGACTGATAAAAAAGTTTTAAGAATAAACTTTAAATCGCTGTCTTCATTAGACTTATGGCACTCGTCTACTATGACTAGATTTATATGACATGGTGAAAGTTTCTCTTCTGATATTAACTGTGTGTAGACTTTTGGAGTTCCAACCAATACCTATATATAAAATAAAATGTACAACTCAAGAAGGGATATTTTTACAAGCAATTTAAATCAATAAAGTAATTAATAGATAATAATCTCTTACATGAGAACTTTCAAGACTTTCAGCAAATTCGTTAGATATAGAATCACATGTTAATACTTTCAGATCTGTTAATTGCTTTATATAAGTTGCTTTTGTTACACATTTTTCTTCATTGTTTAATATATATATTGCCCGTTTTCCACCATCACTTACTAATCTATATATATATATGTAAAAATAAATTATAAGTAAATTAATATGTTAATACATATATACTTTTTAAGAATAACTATTTCAATCTATTGAGAACTAATTAAAAATGCTATTTTTATTACTGTTACCTTCTATTATTAGTAGCAAACTCTTGAATCAATTTTATAACAATAAAAGTTTGCTCAGAATTCTTTCCCAAACAAACAATTAAATTCCTTTCTTTGGCCGCATAAAGGAGTTCTACCTATAAACAATTATTAACAATTTAAAAACAAATAATTCATGACATAATTACTCTAATAGTTTCTATGTAATTTCTCTTATTTTATATTTATACTTTCCTTATCTTTAAAACATTTGATTAGATAAAAATAACTTACCTGATACTCCCTGGGAGTAAAGGACTTCGTGTAGACCTGATCATTTAGTGGAAATGCCATGGAACCTATAGCTTCTATATAACTACTACTCACAACAGTTTTCTGATTGTTGTTGATGATCTTTCACTATTAAATAATTGCTGAAAACGCAGCACTTGCACAATAATGTCCGTTATTTAAAGGGCTGCAATTCTCAGTTTGAAACTTAAGATTAGGGTTAGGTTAGATTGTTGTCCACGAAAGCCACGAACTTGACAGTGTGTAAACTTCCAATGTTCAAATTGTCGAAACATTATTAAACAGATAAGAAGAATGTTGATAAATATCGCCATGAAACGACAATTGCATTAATCCCATTTTACAATAAATCTTTTAAGCCCTAAGCTTGAAGTTTCGTCTACAGTACGTGGAGTAAACTTAGCCTAAGAAAAATAACAGTAAGAAATAAAATTAATTTATTTCATCTATATATACATTTAAACTCTAGCTTCCTTACGTCGAAAATATTTATTTGACAGAAAAACTTTCAGCGTAAAGAAGCTGGGATATAGGCGTAAACGAAAAATAATTTGTATTTCTTACTCCTACACTTCATACACCTTGTCCACAACCTTACTTTAATCTTTAAGCGTAACAAATTGACCAACCACAGTCGATTATTTTAAAAATAATCAACTGTGATTGGTCAATTTCTTACGCTTAAGAATTAAAGCAAAGTTGTGGACAACGAATTGACATAAAACGTAAGCGTACTGTAAGAATTGACCAATCATTTTGAGTATCGTCGAACCGTAAGGTCGCCATTTTTGTGAATACTCGATTGTAATTGGCCCATTTTTATGGCTCCTGCACACAAGACGCGGTAATGCTTGCCGCGCGACGGAAGTCTGCGGGACAGCCAATCAATATCTTGTTTTTCCGTATAGGTACCTTTAGGCTGCGTTCAGATTCCCCACCCGGGTGTATTCTATTACTAGAAGTGCTATAGTATATGTCACATATATTATAGTGTTTCTAATAATAGAGTGCACCCGGATGAGGAATCTGAACGCACCCTTACATGGGAGCATCGAGAGTTGATCATTAAAGCGGTAGTCAATCAACGTGCCACTTTCCGCAAGAACTACAAATATACTTCTGGGACCTGATACGTTGATTGGCTAACGCTTTAACGCTCGACGCTGGAACGCTCCCATGTATTGGCACCTTAAGCCCGTATCAGACTACCGACTGCACAGGCCGACCCGACTGCCGACTACGACTGCCGACTCACAATGGACCAATCACAGTGAGGGGCTGAGTCGGCTACTATTACTACTTTCAATAATTAAATAGTAAAAATATTTACAGAACTCGACATTATGTGTGTGTAGTGCGATACAGATAGATAGTTCCGTGTTCCGTATTTCTGCATAAAATCCGCGAAAAGCAGAACGAAACCGCACTGATCCCATTTAGTTACTAGTTACTTTTCCGCATTTACGCATTTCCGTGTTTCCGTACGCTCATGTAATCGCACCTCAAGGCGGTATTCATAGTCGAATCTTATTTCAAGACTGTCTTAAGTAATGTCTTAAGATGCGAATACGGCTCTATGATTGGTTCATAACATCTTAAGACAGTACTTAAGATGATCTTAAATATAAGATTGGACTATGAATACCGGCCCAGAGTTGATTATTCTCCTTGCGTTCGAGGAATAATCGACTGTGATTGGTCAGTTTTCTTACGTCTTACGTTACGGTTAAAAATTTACGGTTAAAATTTTTCTACGTGCAAAGACCCTTAAGCCCATTCTACAATTGCGTAAGCGTAGTCGTGAACGTAAGAGTCAACCAATCCGAATGTTTTATTCACTGATTGCTTTACTCTGATTGGTTGTCGTAATCACTTACAACCGCGTTCAAGCAATATAGAATAGGCTTTAAGGCCAAATCACACTAGCGATTGATGATTGACGATTGACAATTAAAGATTAGATTTTAACGAATCAACAAGCTTCAGTCTTGGCTTGCTTTGTTCCAATTGGTCAAGTTCCAATCTTCAATCGTCAATCATCTATCGTCAATCGCTAGTGTGATTTGGCCTTTAGTCGAATTTTAGAATATCGAAAAAGCAATCGATTATTTAAAAAAAAGAGAAATCAAACATCGATTCATTAATTGTATCTTGACGCGTGGGGCAGAAGTCTCATTGGACCTTTAAAGCCATAGATTAAGAGAGAGATTCATTGGTTGTCATCGTCTATATTTACTTCTTGAGAGAGAGAGAGAGATCGTCCATATTTACTCACCTCTGTACTCGTTTGGTATATTACGGGAGGATACTTTTAGTAGTATTTGAGAGACAGAAAAACAAGAGAAAGCAAACGAATCGTTCTGTGACTTTAAATCATTCTCTTTGAATCGAATCGTGGCATTATGGACGACTTACAGAATTACAAGTTACAGCTACAGCAGGTAACTGTTCTTTTACTATTTTTACTAACCTCCAGCTTCGTAGCGACTAATCAGATACGATAATCTCACTTGTTTATATTCTTGCGAAATGTCATTGCTCACATTTATTGATATTTCAGGTGGAAGCAGCTCTCACGACAGATCCAAATAACGAGGAATTGATTAAGCTGAAAATTGACCTGGAAGAAGTAATAGAGCTGACACATGATTTAATTAAGTCACAACAGCAGGAAAAAAGACAAGCCAATGGCATGGATGCTAAAGATCCTATTTTGCTTGCAGTTCTGGCCAATAAGTGGAAAGTTGGTGATCAGTGTATGGCACCTTGGAGTGAGGATGGCAAGTGAGTATTTCTCAATTGACATTTACAACAAAACTTCATTAAAAAAAAATTACAGTTTTAAATATAAACTGCTAAAAATCTAATGTTGAATGCTAGAGTTACTGAGAAGACTGAGATTAAAGATAAATTAATCAGTTTATTTATATTTAAACTTATATTTAAAAAGTCAATGTACTGAAAATATAATTTTTTAAGATACCTAATAACCTTCTAGAAAAATATTTTGTACATTAGCGTTTTAAGCTATTCACTTTACAGATATTATGAAGCAACCATAGATGCAATAAGTGAAGATGGAGTTGTAAATGTAACATTCAATGAATATAAGAATACAGATGTTACTATGCTAAGTCAACTAAAGTCTGTTGCAAAGAGGCCAGCATCAGACTGGGCGGACCAAAAGTCAAAGTAAGTTATCTATATGAATATATTACATATATAGATGCAGTTTTTATAAGAATTAATTCCCATGTTTTTATCTATATCTTTATGAGAAATGTAAAAACAATAAGATAGAACTTAATTATTTAGTTTTCTTCTTGCTTCTCTTCTGAATTGACTACAATATCCTACCATTGGTTTGGTATAAAATATTAATTTTAATATTTTATCTTTTTATCTTTAATTCTTTCTCCTCACTCTCTTCCTATTTTTCATTTAAATTACAGTAATATTATTAAGATATTTATTACAATATGTCATTTTAGAGATATAAGTTGTTTTTACAATTGTCCTTTTACAGAAAAATGCAAGCAGCTGCAGTTGCAGGCTCAGATCCTAACAAACAAAGAGAATATCTTAAGAAAAAAAAGCAGAGGAAACTACAGCGATTCAAAGAGCTGGAGGAAGAACGTGAGTTAGAGAAAAATAAATGGTTAGCGTTTACCAATAAGGTATGTACAAAAAAATAAGTTATATCACTAATATGTTTGAAACTTCATCCTTATAATTGAATAATTATTTCTTACAGTCTTCAAAGAAAGGTGTTATCAAGAAGAGCATTTTTGCGACACCGGAAAACGTGAACGGCCGTGTAGGAATTGGCACTTGCGGTGTCAGTGGTCGTGAGATGACCAAGTTTAGCAATGGGGAGAAATGGAGGCGAGGAGCTTAAATAGGCGCTGTACATAAATTAGAAATTGTAACTTTGTGAGGTAGATTCGCGATATATTATTGGAAAAATGAATCAGTAGAAGTCTAAAACTAATATATTTGCGGTAACTGCAACGGCAGTATGAAGGACACTATAATATATAAAAATTATAATTTTATAAACTGTAGCGTTTTTTATACTGCACTGTTTTAAGCTTTCACTGACTCACTTTTACCTTCTAATTGTACATCTAAGAGCCTTATACATTTCAAATTATATTATATTATCTTAAGACTCGTCCATAAAACTGGTACATGATGCACTTTATGTTGTGCGAATGGTGAGAATGACTGTGCGATCGCAAGAATAGTGAAATTTTTCAAGTGCGAGTGCAAATATCATTTCTTGTATCAACGCCGATCTTATAAGTTACGAGATGATTTTAAATTTTGTACCGCAACACAATTCAAAAACAAATGCGATGAATAAATGTGTTTCTAGATTAATATGTTTTTGTGAATATAATTTGTTTATAATCTCACTGATATATATCAATAAATATATATATTTTAATGTGGAAATGTTTTCGAGAAAATTTTTCTTCCAAGGAAAAAAAAGAAAAAAAGTATTGGGTCTGTGTATGAGGAAATTTGAGATTTACTTTTATTTAACTATTTAATCTCGAGGTCATAGTTACGGAAATCCTAATATCAAAGTATCGATAATGCCGATAATAACGTCTACAGATCTTGTTACTGACTAGATAAACGTTTACAAGTCGAATAATCTAAACCGCAAATTAGCGTAGAAAAATCAAAATGGCGGCTTCAAGTGTGTTATCATACGTCATCAGTGGTTGATATCTTCACATAAAAATGCAGATACATCATCCTGATATAAGAAAAAGCTATTAAAGCGTGTAAAAATCTTCCGAGTACTTGTGCAATGTCCAAATTCTTTTGTTGTATCGTATATTTCTTATTCTAACCTATGTGCACCGTCACCGCGGAGTGAAAGTGTCAGAACAAAGCTACAAATTGAGAACTATGTAAAAATACAAGATTTATCGCGTCACTCACACAGGTATGCCGTGCATTACGTATGTAAAAGAGTTTCGATAATAATTCGTACGTGAGTGAAACTGATATCAATGAAAAGCAACTAATTTTGTTTGTAGAGTATTAGATACAGATAGACATGGGATCAAATGAAGAGACTAGACTTCCAAACGGTGATGTCCGGGTGCACAGAGATGTCGATTGGTCTAGATACGGTTTGCGTGACCCAGAGGCACAAAGAAATACCAGAAAAGACAATGAAGGCTATAATGCACTCGGTCCTGAAATGTATCAAGCTGGTGCAAATGAATTGTTTGCACAAGAATATGTAAGTTATAAAGCAATATATAATTCTACATATTTTTTGTGTCACAGCTATTTTTCTATTTTTCTCAGAGTTCGGATCCTTGGTGGAAATCAAACTTTTTTATTTCCCAACCTGTACTATTTGGTACCTGGGATGGAGTTTTTACGTCCTGTCTTATCAATATATTTGGAGTAATTGTATTTTTAAGGTCTGGCTGGATAGTTGGCCAAGCAGGTGTTTTAAATGCTGTATTAATAATTTTGTGTACAGGTAATATTGTTGTGTAAAGTCAAATAAAAGTCAATTATTATAATTAATGTTAGAATTATAATTAAAACTAATTACTTTTATTATATTGTGTTATATATAATAATAAAATCACATGTATTGATTTTAGTGTGTATCGCATTAGTGACAGTATTGTCAGCTGTAGGAATATGTGAGAGATGTAGAGTTGAAAGTGGTGGAGTTTACTTCCTACTATCACATGTATTGGGTTCCAGATTTGGTGGCTCTATCGGTTTGCTTTATTGCTTTGGACAGGTATAAGCAAATAAACATATTCTATTGGTTTTTCAGCATTCAAAGAATTTGTTTATGGATTTTATTTCAGGCCGTGGGTTGTGCTCTAAACGTTTTAGGTTTTGGAGAATCAATGGCTGGTCTTGTAGGTTTGGAATCTACTTGGGCTCAACGTGGTTTTGCCTGTGCAGCAGTTATATTATTGTCTGTAATTAACGTGGCTGGTGTTAAATGGGTTATAAAATTACAGTTTATTCTCCTTTTGCTCCTACTTCTCGCTGGAGTCGATTTCTTTGTTGGAAGTTTCACTCATACCAATATTGGTGAGTTATAAGCTCATTGAGAGAATCATAAATGTGATATGAAAAATAGGAAAAGTGAGGAAAAACTATAAAATATTTATATAATTCTTGTACATTATATGCAACAAAAATTATAATACTAATAAAAAATGCTAAATACTACTATATAATATATAATACTAATAATAAAAGTTAATAAAGTTATGACATTATTTGTATTGCAGATGCTGGTTTTGAAGGATGGTTATCAGGAAACCTAAAGAACAACACTTTCATGGATTATCAAGATGGATACAGCTGGTTCACCGTTTTCGGTGTATTCTTTCCGACAGTCACTGGTGTTTTAGCTGGAATCAACATGAGTGGAGATTTGAAACATCCATCCAGCGATATTCCCAACGGTACTTTAGCAGCGTTAGGAACCGGGTAAGAAAAACTTAACAGTGATATAAATTTTTGGAAAAACTGTTTTGGATCACAATTATTTTTTGCAGAACATTTTTGTATCTGTGCTTTTCGCTTACTTTGGCGGCTACTTGTGTCAGAAGCGCTCTGCTCACAAATTTTATGATAGCATCGACAGTGTCAGCAATATCGGTGTTGCTATTGGCTGGTCTCTACGTATCGTCATTCAGCAGCTGTTTGGGTGCTATGTATGGCACACCCCGCGTTCTTCAGTCCATCGCCAGCCAAAATGTTATACCGGGAATGAGTTGCCTACAAAGAGGGGTGATTATTCTCTTCTCTTCATGTTCTGTTGTCTATTCTCAGCTTGGATTATTCTAAGATAAACTGTTCTAAACCTTACGACTATGTTAATACGTGAAATTCGACTGATTTGCAGTAATAACAAAGATAAATTGTGTTCTGCTTCCAGAGAGGACCAAATAAAGTACCTATATATGCTATGCTAGTCGTTGCTGTGGTAACGTTGACTTTCATCATTACTGGACAAATTAATACTCTCGCGCCGATTGTGACGATGCCTTTTCTACTGACGTACGCATGCTTGGACTACGCATACTTTGCCCTCGCGCAAACATTCGATATCCGTCATACGCGCGAGCAAAGATTTCGCACTCAGTCGCCAACATTCGACCGCAATTATGGTTCTGCTAGTAGGGACAATTCTATCACTGATACGGACAACGATTTGGATAGCTTGTTTCCAGAGAGAATAAGGCACAAGAACCTCACGGTAAGAGATATACACATGAAATACATCTTTTTATACAATTCTAAAGGATGCGCGAGAATAATTAACACGCGATTCTTATTTGCAGAGGAACAACAGTGTTTCTGATAATAATGTGATTGTCGATTCATCGCCAAGTATTGATGACAACGCCAGCGTTGCGAGTGCGGAACGAAAAGTTCATATACACAATAAATTGGGAAACTGGTACAGCCCTTTGTGCAATAGATGGTTTTCGTTACTAGGTGTAAGTGTTTTCGCACACTGGGAAAAAGCATTGTAGCATTTCATTATTTTGAAACACACTGAAAAATAATAAGATCATTTTAAAGCGATTCGTGTTCGCATTTAGATTATATCTACATTTATATTCTTATTCTAGTGCCTCGTAAAACTGATTATAATGTTTCTCGTGCACTGGGGATACGCTATCGCCAATATCGTCGTTGTATTTATTGTCTGGAGTTATGTGGGTCACGCCAATCCCGCTGTTAAGCCAGGAGTATCGGCAGAATTTCAGTTCTTCAAGTGGCTTCGGACTGCATTACTTCGTCTTATGGGGTAAACTTCACTGTCACGTATTACACAATTCTTTTTGGGCTAAACTCGATACAGTCTTGAAAGATAGAAATTATTACTATAATTATTATGCAAAACTGTGACTTTCTGTTTGTTTTTAGGAGGAAGGTTTACGATTACGAACAGATCGTCGTGACACCGGTATATCCGGGCGTTGAGACGTGTTCTGCTCAATTGAACGAGGAAAACGAGGATTTCTCGGGGAGAAGAAGATACCATCAGACCGCTACAGTCACAGGTCAATATGTTAATATTGACTAGACGTCTGGATACGATCCAAACGGAGAAATCAGCAGAGGTATTTTATAAAATTCTACTTCTGCTGACGAAAGGAAATTACGAATGTATATTAATAACGCCTAGCATCTATGCATAATATTTTAGAGAATGATAAATAGCTTGCAGCAGTCTTACTTCGTAGGCAGCTATTATTTTAACTTTTATAACAATGTCAATCGCGCAAATAACTAGTCCAATTGAATTTATTTAACTTATGCAATACATTTAAAGTGGAATAATTATATAACTTTGATCCTGCCGTTCCGTTCGCTTTTTATGTACACTTAGTAAGTTTGAATTCAAACGGATATGTGCACTTATTTCACAATACTGCTTTTATTTTCGATGCGCTTTTGAAATGCAGTTGACGGTTCAATAAAAGAACTTCCTAGTAAACAATCTGTGAGCAGACTGATGTCAGATCGGTGACAGATTCAAAAAGAATCTGTCGACAGATCCATAGACATCTGCTGTTAGATTGTGGACAGAGTCTGCTGACAGGCTCTGACGGCAGATTGGCGACAAAATGCGCGCAGATCCTGCTGCCATTAGAGTCTGTCAATAGACTCTGCGAGCAATCTATCTCCAATCTGCCGTCAGAGTCTGATAAACATAGAGATACTATGTGCAATTTGTTGCCTTTCTATCATAGACACTGCTAATAGATCTACGTAAAATCTGCTCGCACAGGTTTGACTATGTGGGATATTAGAAATTAATGAAAAACAAGTTCTCTCATTGGATTATCGGCTGTGTTCCAAATTGCATCGAGAAAAAAATGTGTTAAAATAATTTCACAAACAAGTGTACACGTTTTAACATAGTTTTAGTCAAATATGTCTTTATATCGTATAAATGACTACAAATAGAAAGGTCACAAAATAATATAGCGTTGCTTTTACCTATGAGATTATTACGTTTTAAAAATGAACATTAGTTAACTGTTCGAACGGGATAGCAGGATTTATAAGTATTAACAGCCAATGAGGCAGCAGATCAAATATGAAACTGATTGATTGTGTGAAACGTACAAAGAACTGATGTAACGGTAGTGCTAGATTTTTATAAGCATTTACTACCTGTTGTGATCGTCGTGCAACTAAGAAATGACCTACTATTTGGGTGATTTTCTACACAATGTTATTCAGTTTGGCATAATGTTTAACAAACAACTGAGAGAAAAATATCTATATGCTTAATGAATTTTTGCGTATAGTGTGAAATTATTCTTTTATAATCGAACTATTACACAGGGTTGTAAATAATCAGATGACAATGATAGTACGGCGCAACACAGTCGCATCGTGCATCAATATTCTGTAAATATCTGATAATAATATATTTATACACTATTTAACACTTTTATAATTCTCAATGCACGAATAAATTTATGTGAAAAGAAATATATAGATATCTATATATGTATGTGTAAAAAAATTTTGGTATATCATTATTGTCGATATATTCCTTTCCCATTTTACGAGTGTTTCCCATTTGAAGTCTACCGGAAAAAAATTTCCTAAAAATTACTCAAATTATGAAAGAATAAAATTATATATTAAACTTGATAGATTATTACTCTATTTCGTCCGCAATCGTAAATATCGTTTCATATGACAAGAGATTGTTGAATAGTCATCTGCTTTAAAGAGAAATCACATCATATATTAATTGTAGAAAAACAAAATAATATAATAATATTCCTGGACTATTTTCATGTAATAATTATCTTATATTATAAAGATTATTTTACAGAGAGATGAATGTATATTCTAAAGATGTTTTTATAATATGAAAATAATTCTACTGCGATTTATCCCACAGACGAAACTATCAAATCGGCAACATCTGAATCTTGACAGAGAACGGACAGTTGCATTGTAACTTGCGTTCCGCTCAGCGCCAGTCGTGCACGTGCCAATATTTCCTTTCCTCCTCGGAAGACACCGCTCAGGAGCAGATTGTGCGCGGTCGAGCCACTTTGTACTTTATTACTGCGTTCCACGGCTTCCAATCCCAAAAATCCCGTAAGACTTTGTATCGCTCCTTCCAAAGAAGTCACTGAAGCTCCCAGGACGAACGTCTCTTCTAATTTGGCGAATCCCTTCGCGGTGAACGTGTCCCAAGCGGTATTAAAATCGAAACCTCTGTTATTAACGCCACGTACTTGGTCAGCTAGAGTTACTTCTAAATCTTCCAACTAAAAGATATAGTTAACATATATAAGTAATCATTTTAAGATGTCTTACTAAATTCTAAAACTAATGCCCGTATTCATAGTCAGGCCTTATATTTAAGGCCTCCTTAAGTTTATCTTCAGATGCTCTACGGATCATTTATTGGCTACAGAGCATCTAAAGATGAACTTAAGAAGGCCTTAAATATAAGACCTGATTATGAATACGGGCATAAAATCTCTTCGATTTAGAAATTTGCAAGGTTGGATAGTAACTAGTTAAAAGTTAAAAAGTTAAAAAATTAAATAGCTTTAACTTAACTTAGTTACATTTTTACACTCTTAACTTTTAACTTAATTTAATTACATTTTATCGGTAACTATTAACTATTTTATCGGTAACTAATTATTAACTTTTAATCAATTATCTTGAAGTTAACCATGCCATAAAAGTGTCGCGAGGCGTCGAAAGGCTGTTCAGTGCAAGAGGGCTCATTTTCGACAATCTTCGAGGTCCGATAAAATGTCCAATAAAAATTTCGAAAAAATTTTATTACTTAAATTTAATAAATATCTGTAAATAAAATAAGGTGTATATTTGTTTTTTCCGTTATTTGTAAAACTGAAGTCATGAAATGAAACAAATTTAACTTTTAACTTTTTAATTACTTTTTTTTATTAAATTAACTTTTAATTCAATTAATTTCATTATAGGTTAACTTTATCTCAACTAAGTTAAATTTTCAAAACCATTAACTTTAACTTGGTTAAAAAAAAAGTTAACTTATCCAACCCTGGAAATTTGCAATTTTACAAATTATAGAAGGCGCTTCTTACGCTGAGTATTAACAAAATCCTATTTCATTACGATACTAAAGACTAATTTTTTACCATATATTCATCGTGGTATCCTTGATCTGCGTCTGGTATCCCCGTTGTTGGATCGCAATCTCTTGCTATGAATCTGAGAGTTGTAGGAATAGTGGCGACACTCGCGTGAACATCTTCCGGATACTTCAATACCGTGTACGTGGTGTCTAGTTCGTTATAAGGTAATCGTGGACACGACACCACGCATATGACCGAGTACCTATATATAAAAAATTCGTTCCAACATATGCTACAAAACAAATGTGTCGAATAACATATGAACGACTGTTAGGTGCGCTCACCCTTCGGCTGGTTCAACGGCTACCACCACATCTTCAAGAAGCTGATCAGACAGAGTATTCACGCAGTCGAACTGCAAAATAAGATACTCGGGGAATGTATGCTTAATACATTTAACGTTATATTCCGTCTCGGATTCGGTTAGTTCAAACGTCGGCGAGGATTTCAGTAATGACGAATCACCGATGATCGCGGCTAGTTGCGGAATCTGCGACAGTTTTTCCATGAAATTCTCTTCTCTGGTCAAACGAGGCTGCTTAATAGTGGTGTGTATTTCCACCTGAGCTGGCTCCTCTATCGTCTGAGCTGGTGGTATCTGAAAAAGATAATAACGTAATACAAAATATAAAATACAGAACTCAAATGATTAATTCCTTCCTTTTCTTTATGACTGATCTTGGAGAAAAATAATACCTGGGAAATGTCGAACGATTCTTCCATAGTTGTCTGCATGTAATTTCGCAAGGCTCTTTCTAAAGATGGCACGGACAACGAGGGTGGTTGCACCAGAGGTAACATGGTCGGATCGCTTTTTTGCTGCAAAATCGTGCAGTAGTAAGCCGCGCGATCGCGAACCTCGTCGTCAGAGTCCAGTTGACAACGCGACAGCAACACCAACACGTTCGGCAGCAAGAGTGGGCAAGCGGCGGCGAAACGCGCCAAAGCGGTGACGGCTGCGGCGCGCACGCTGGCGCTCTCAAGAATCACGCGGTTGTAAATGAAGCGAATGTATCTCGATGGATGTTTCGATGTTGGGCCCTCTTGACCGAGCAAGTGCAAAATACGAACTGCCAGGGAGATGTGTTCGCAGTCCTCGATAAACTCGCAGAGATGAGCGAGACCTGCTTCCTTCGCCTCTGCGTTTCCCTCCATCACGGCGATGATGGTGTCGGCGATCGCTGCTTTATACTCTAGGCCACCTTCGTCCCTCAGCATAGCGGAAAGGAAGTTCATCAGTACAGAATGCTTGCGCGGGAATTTTTGACACAAGGCCCTGAAAATAAAGTTTCAAAAAAGTGATGAATTATATCTCAAAATTACCATGTATCTTGTAGACAATAAATAAAAGTTATTGTATAATTTATGAAAGAGATAAATTATCATATAGTTGGTGAAGAAAAGTTATCGCACAGTTGACAAAAAAGGATAAGTTTAAGAACAAAAATAAAAGTTATCAAATAGATGATGAGAAAAGTGGAATTTACCATACAACCTGCAAAGCAAAAGATTTACCTGATGGCTTGTACAACCACGACTTTGAATTCATCCGAGATCTCAGATACAAAGGTAGCGATCTGCTTCATCAGTCGGTCTACTGAGCTCTCTGCTCCGGTCTTCAGAAGAGTAGTGATAGCTAAAGTGGCGATCGATCTGTTCGAGTCCGTAATCAAGTTCTCCAGATCCAGATTGCAGGCTGTAACCGCCGCTGGGTGCGACATCGCAACCTTGTTCAGAGTTCTGACCGCGGCGAATCGAAGAGCTGGCTTCGGCGAGCCGCAGAACAGTTGCAGCACGCTGATCGCGGGCCCGATCTCTCGAGCGCCGCTACGTCCGAGATTGACCAGAGCGTGAGCCGCCTCGTAGACCACCATCTCGGACTTGTGTCTCAAACACGACTCAATGAATCCTATCAGTTCTTCTCCTTCGTCCACCTCGTCCAACAGTTTATACGCCATTCGGATCAGCATGCAGGCTGCGTAGGGACTCTTTGGACTTGTCTTCATGAGCTTGGCCACCAGCTTGATTACCGCGTGCTTGTCCGCCTTTCGCGCCTGATACAGCACACCCAATGCATGATACTGGACCATCACGTTGTTGGAATTCAATGCCTCTTGAGCCTCATTGGCCCACCTCCTCGCGACATCACCAGACACACTGGTCAGATGCAGAGAAGAGACCAACGCAGCACTGGACACTGCTGGAGAACGGTCGACAATAGCCTGCTTCATGTATCGTTCAATAGCTGCTAGCATGCTGCCATCAGTAATGGTACAAAGCGCTCTGATGGCTGCAGCTCGATATAGATCCTCCTTTCCTGTCATATCCTTGGTGAGGCTGGAAGTGACTATAATCACATCTTCTGCCAGAGAACTTAGCTCCTTGATGCCTAAGTAAACCAGTCGTCTCAGAATAACGTCGCGTGACTGAAACAATTTGGTCATAGCGAAGAAGGCCTCTGTGGCTTCTGTTGTGCCCAGCTGTTCACCTTGATTGAGCAAGTACAAGATTTTGGTGAGGATATGCGCGCATTTTCGGGGATTCACAGGTGTATTGTTGAAGGTGCGCGCTTCTTGCAGAACCGTCGTCTTCTCGAGGTTTTGGAAGGGATTCCCGCCGCCTGGTCGGGCGAAAGAGGCACGCGTTAATATTTGACGCATTTTCGGTGTGACTATAAAATTGTGTATCGTGCAACAAATACTATTATCACGTAAAAGCGTGTGTTTTTCTGAGAAAAATTTCTATGATCTTCTCATCTTTCATAATTTCGCATTGCTTACATCAGCTGTCAAATTAGCCTATGATCTACGTGCGACTCCTAATTGCGCGCGCTCAGTCGACACTTACGCGAAGAATGATAACAATATCAATTAATAGTTACCATCTTCCTCCTCTTTCTTGTCGCGTTTGAACGCAATCATATTTCTTCAAGTACGATCTCGTAAAGCAGAAAGACACGCGACACGTCACCTGACGTGTTCTAAACGGCCATTACGGTTTGCGCCGATTCCTAACCTTTTCCGCAGATACGTCACGATCTGAAGTATCGTCTTATAAATTTGTTCTTTTTAATTAGAAACGAACGATATCGAATAAAAAATGAGATTCATGTCAGTTGTAACAACAGAGTGCTTTTCAGTTATTTATACTGTTACATAAAACCAGTTTATTAGTTGCATATTGGCCTGGTTTACATCGTGCACTTGATACACATACTAAATAGTAACTTTCTATTAGATAATCTTAATATCGACGATATATATAAACAACGATATATTAAACTGATATAATACTCATCAAGAAAACGTATTGTGTTGATTGAATGCGTCGCCGTTGATGCGCATTGTCGATATTAAGATTATCTAATAGAAAGTTACTATTTAGTACACGTATCAAGTGCACGATGTAAACCAAGCCAATGCATATCAACGGCGACGCATTCAATCAATAGAGTGGGATCCGATTGATCACGATACGATTGGACACAGATTGTAATGATTGGTTCGACCTAGTAATTCACTAGATAATTTTTTTCATTGGTTGGTTGTGTCCAATGGTACTGTGGTCAATCGGGACGCTTCCCAATCAATACAATACATTTTCTTGATGAGTATTATATCAGCTCAATATATCGTTGTTTATATTGGGAGTACAAATTAGTTCGGTCCGTTTTCAAAAGATGACTCTGGCTGTTATGAATTGTTACGTCCACGATAGATAACTATATAGGGAAATTTGAAAGTAGTGAAATCAGTGACTTACGTGGACGGTCAACAGAGTAATGACTCCGCTTTTGGGTCACTCTGCTTTTCACCGAGTTTATCCTGGGTCTCCGGAGTCTGGCGAAACGACTGATGAATCTGGCGAAAAATCAGCGGTGCTTGTTCTCCTGGCTCGGCCTCGGATGTTCCGACACTACGCGGGTTGATGCGGCCCGCGATTCAGAATTTTGATTTCGCAATGTTTGAAATAGGAAGGGTAGGCAAAAGTAATTGCAACACAGTCGGATTTTACGACTAATTATAATATTCTGAATAGGTACACGAAAGCTACCAGAGAAGCTAATTATGAGAAGAGAATAATTACCTTCTCTACAAATGCGCGCATTTTTATATGTCGCTTTGTCGTTGAGAGTCGTTCTCCGATTGGTCCATGGAGTTATGGCGAGGGAAGAGATTCATTCCTTTGCATGATGTCACCGCGTCGGTGTCCTGAGTGGTGTTTGGGATTCGGCTTTCATGCTCCTGTTTATGTTAGCTTATCGCACTGAGCGATAACGGTTTCTTTAGGTCGATCCATCGATTTCAAGACTCTCCAGCAGCACGCAGCATTCGGCATTTTAATTATAATGTTTTAACGCTCGCGAATATATATATACTTATATCTAGTAACATAGGGATAAAATGTCTAGTGATGTCTGAAATCAGACAAGTCGGTCTCCCGGTCTATAATAATATATTATTAATGTTCTAAAATAGATCCGGACGTTGCAGAATGTTTCATAGTGACAGCTGATTTCGGTGGTTTCAGAGAGCTTAGACATCTGTCAATAATATTCAGTTTATATCGCTTTGAGTTTCATACAAAACCCCTATTTTTTACTGTGTTGAATATGTCAAATTTTGTGTTAACTAAGCAGCATTTGCGGGAGGTTTTAGTTTTCTGCTTTAATTGGAAGAAAAGTGCAGCTGAAGCGCATCGAATGCTTGTAGAAGTTTATGGTGACAATGCTCCAACTGATAAATCATGTAGGGAATGGTTTCGACGTTTCAAGAATGGTGATTTCAGCGTTGAAGACAAGCCTCGCTCTGGACAGCCAAAAAAATTCGAAGACAAAGAATTGGAGGCATTACTCGATGAAGATCTGAGTCAAACGCAAGAGAACCTTGCAGAATTATTGGGAGTTACGCAACAAGCAGTTTCCGTACGATTGAAATCCATGGGAATGATTCACAAGTAAGGCAATTGGGTGCCTTATGAACTGAAACTGAGAGACATTGAAAGGCGATTTTTCACTTGCGAGCAGCTGATTCAAAGGCAACAAAGAAAGGGTTTTTTACATCGGATTGTGACTGGGGATGAGAAATGGATATTCTACGATAACCCCAAGAAGAAAAAATACGCTATGCCCGGTCAGTCGTTGCCATCGACCTCAACACCAAAGCCGAATATTCATGGTTCGAAGGTCATGCTGTGTATCTGGTGGGACCAAAAGGGTGTTGTATACTATGAGCTGCTACAACCTGGCGATTCCATTACGGGCCATCGGTATAGGCTACAATTGATTTGTTTGAGTCATGCATTACGAGAAAAACGGGAATACGAGCAAAAACATGACAAAGTTATTCTTCTGCATGATAACGCTCGGCCTCATGTCGCAAAAGTCGTAAAAAATTATTTGGAAACGCTCAAGTGGGATATTTTACCGTACCCGCCGTATTCGCCGGACATTGCTCCTTCTGATTACTGGTTGTTCCGACGGATGCAACACGATTTGGCAGGTCACCGGTTCACTTCTTTCGCAGAAATCGAAAATTGGTTCCTAATTTGGATCGCTTCAAAAGACGAGACATTCTTTCGAGATGGAATTCGAAAATTGCCTGAGAGGTGGGAGAAAGTAGTAGCCAGCGATGGACAATACTTTGATTAATCTGTTCATTCATTTTGTTCTTAAATAAATGCATTTTTGACCACAAAAAAACGGACCGAACTAATTTGTACTCCCAATATATATCATCGATATTAAGATTATCTTGCAAGATATTTTAGATAATGGCTTAGTTTACATCGTGCACTTGATACGCGTACTAAATAGTAACTTTCTATTAGATAATCTTAATATCAATAATGCATATCAATGGCGACGCATTCAATCAATCAATATATTTTGTTGATAAGTATTATACCAGTTTAACATATCATTGTTTATATATATCGTCGATATTAAGATTATCTAATAGAAAATTACTATTTAGTACGCGTATAAAGTGTACGATGTAAACCAAGCCAATATGTGACCAATAAATTGGTTTTGTATAAGTCTCGATCTATAATAGGTGTAGGACTGCGTTCGGAAACGTCACTCAAGTACTCTCTCTCTCTCTCTCTCTCTCTCTCTCTCTCTCTCTCTCTC